CGATTTTAAGGTAGCACCCCGAATCAGTTTTCGCAAAGTAAAAGGTTTTATTTTTAATAACTTTGCGAATTTCTCGCACTCTGATTTTACGATAAGGAGGGGTGTTACACCATGTGCAGGAAGACATATGTCGAGAATGTATTGGGTGATAGCGATAACCACCTCTGACAGCTCCCAACGCCTCACGCCACCTCTGACATGCGCACGGCGTGTCAGAGTACGGATGGGCAGCTTGGGCAAGCAGCTCATCTTATCCAGGCAGCTATTAGGGCAGGTATTTCACCACTATATAAGAGGGGTGAGCCTTTCTCCCTTAACACGATTTTTATAATATTCACTTCAGTATACTCATACACATACTGACTTATGCATCGGAGGCTCTTCACCGGACACAACCCCCGGTGTAAGAGTTATTTGCAGGTTTCCGACTTTCTACCGGCGAGGACGAGAATCAATCTATTCCGAACCGGACCATGGCGTTCACACTTGCATTAGTCGTATTTCTTAAAATTAACCTCCCAATACGATTACAATAGAACTGACCGTGATTTAAAAAATATCTTGCATTGAAAGGCAAATAAATCATGAACGGTAACTAAATTCAAAGTCTAATTTAGATAAATTATTTACGGATGCAAAACGTGTGATATAAGATAAGCAAATATATGGAATATATTATTGTAAGAATATATTTTTTTTTTCCAAAACGACAGAAATAACTTTATTAACCTTAAAGCGAACAACGTTCAAATACAGAGCACGACTAAGAAATCAAAAATACAGAAACATGGGAGACATGCCCAAAGCATGCCTAAAGCCTCAACTAAACCAATACAACTCAGAATCAAAAGAAACTAGAGAAAAGGATCCCTCACCACTGCTGAAAAGCCTAGCAGGTACCTTTTCTTAGAACCAAATGACAAACTGAAAACAAACTAGAAACCTAGAAAATACGAAAACAAATCAAGGAAAACAACACCGAAACTAGCAGTCTGAGAGGCAAGAAGTGAACTAAATCCATTCTGACTGTGCCATAGAGATTATAACATGTGCTGGAATTAAGGCTTTTTGAAAAATCCATAGGTTTCTCGACTTCCAAAGCCACCAAAGCAAATATGTTGAGAGTTGGATCCTCGCTTCGACAACTTCAGAACGATCAATGGAGAAAATTTGGTACCACCATGCCTTAAAGGAATCTGTCTTGCTTTCAACACCATCCCATCTGACTGGACTCAGCTTCCATAATGTGACTGCTCTATGACAATGAAAGAAAATGTGCTCTATTGTTTCTCAAGTTGACTGCAGTTGGGACTGTATTAGACAAGCACTTCCATATAAAAGTGTTTAAGTTTACCTGCTACTTTGAGTTTCTAAAATCTGAACTTCACTGCTGCTTTTATTTGGGAACTCGAGTTGCTTTCTGGAATAACTGCTTTCAAGAACTTTACATGATCAAGATGTTTGTAGATGCTTGCCACTATGAATTGCCCTCTTCTGCCCAATCCCCAATAAATTTTGTCACTTCTGTCAGGATGAAGAGTTGTTATGCTGAGAATGGCTTTGGCATCTGCTTCACTAAAAACTTGCTTTACTAACTAGTCATTCCACTGAGTGCCATTTGCTTGTATTAAGTCTTTAACCCAAATCAGGTGTCCCTGTGCAATTGGGACTAAAGATGGAGTAGGGTTCTGCAGATTTGGCACCCAATTTGGATCAACAATTTTAGTGTTTTCACCATTCCTTATCTCTATTCTCAGCCATTTAGAGAACAAGGGCATCAATTCCATCCATGTATTCCACATCCATGAACCACCTTGAATTTTAGAAGCATGAATGATAGAGGTGTGAGGAAAGTACCTGTCCTTCAGTAATCTACTTACCAAAAGTTAAGGGTTGGTGGCTACCCTCCATAATTGCCTGCATATAAGTGCTTGGTTATACAGCTGCAAATCATGAAACCCAAGTCCTCCTTGCTGCTTGGGTAGTGTTAAAGCACTCCATTTTCTCTACTGTATGCTATGTTCTTTCTCTGCTCCAGATTTCCACCAGAAGGATGCACAAAGTCTTGCAATCTCAGAACAGATGGTTAGAGGTATCTTGAAGCATGACATTGAAAATACAGGCAGTGCTTGTGTAATATCCCGTCAGATTATTAATATAAATCATGTTTAGTTCAGATATAATAATATTGTCGAGTATTATTTTCGGAATTAATTATTTTCAGTCGAGATTACCCGAAATTATTTTCGACGTCCCGTTTACGTTCGGAATAATTTTGGTAATTAAGTATTATGCTTAATTAGATAATTAAGTATTTCGTTACGATTAATTATATATTAATCGAGTTTAAGTAGCATAATGCCGTAGCTTTTTATTGAATTTATCTCAAATTCTATTGAAAATCCGTGAGCCTTATTTCCTTAAGCAAGGGGAAACTTCTCTTTAGCTTAGCATGAGGTGGCAAGAACTAAGTTGGTTAGTCATCCTCAAGCCTCTATCTAGCCCCAAGTGTCAAGCATATTTGAGGACAACAAATCACCACATCACCCCTAATTTTTTTTGTCCATTCGGTTTTAAGTATCTAAGGGGAGACTTGGGGAAAATTTTTCCCATCTTCTTCAGCATATGTTAAGTATATTGTGAGGATTATAGAGTTAGTGAGGAGAGCCGCACCCCAAGATTATCGCACCGGACGCAAGTACACTGCACGCCGAGAGCATAGCACACGCACGGAGGCTCCGGTTGTCCCGAGCAGTTAGAGCAATCAACCGAGTGTTCAAGAAGGTAACATCAGTTACCTTTGTTTGGTCATGTTAAATTAAGTTAGAACAAGTCATGTTCATGATATAGTTTAATTTGTTCTCGGTCGTGCGTGTGGCGTATGTTAAGCATGTTCATGTGTAATTCTGCAATCTCTCAAGCTATTGTTATATGTTTAGTCGTTTTATGATTTATCATATTCAGTCAGCATATAGGGTTCAAGGTATTTGCACGATTGTTCGGTGATTAGGCCAAAGGGACGTGGTCGCGCACGTAGCACGTACCACGGGCTGCGCATGGCTAGTGTTTCTGCTAAGTGTTAAACCTTCGAGCATTTCATGTCAATTCATTCAGCAAACATTATTTCATGCTCAGGGGTGTATTAATTGCCGAGAGAAAAATCAGGTTTGGTCGAGAAATGGCTTAACGCCGTCGGCGGCGCACGGAGCGCACGCCACGGCCATATTCAGCTCATTGTGTAAATTTCATGATTTTAAGTAAATTCAGTAATTATGATCATGTCATGTCAGCTTATGTCATTTGAAGTTAAATTTCTCGAGAGATGTTGCTGGATGGCCGGCAAGGGCCGACCGTGGTCGTGCTGCCCGCACGCAGCGGCAGCAGCGCGCCGGCAGTCAGTGATACGGAAGTGGGTTCCGTACCCCTGTGGCAAGAAGGGCCGAGAGCCCAGAGGACTCGAGGAGACTGAAAATAGGGCCAAAACGATGCAAGCATGGCCTAAAAGGCGGGAACGAGCTCGTATGCGAGGCGCAATGACACGCAAGAAAGGGCGCATTAGGAAAGAGCGAGAATACGCGCATTGGCGTAGACGCGCATGGCGTTTGGAGGTTGGAGCAATGGTTGGCGGTACGCGCGGCACTGCGAGCGCACGAGGGTGCGCGGTAGATGAGCAGGCCACGGTGATTGGCAGCATGCGCGGAGCAGCGGACGATGGGTGGCGTGATCGAGCGCGCGAATGACATCGACGGCGAGGCCAAAGAAGCCGAGGTAATCATGGTCGAGGAGGACGATGGGCGTAAGTCGTACATGATGATCGAAGTGGTTGCCGAGAGCGAAGTCATGGTCGAGATCGAAGAAATAGTTTCCGAGGTTTGGATGGTCGAGGATGAATCCTTGAGGACAAGGAAAGTCTCGAAGAGGAGGGGAATGATACGGAAGTGGGTTCCGTACCCCTGTGGCAAGAAGGGCCGAGAGCCAAGAGGACTTGAGGAGTCTGAAAATAGGGCCAAAACGATGTAACCATGGCCTAAAAGGCGCGAACGAGCTCGTACGCAAGGCGCAATGACACGCAAGAAAGGGCGCATTAGAAAAGAGCGAGAATACGCGCATTGGCGTAGACGCGCATGGCGTTTGGAGGTTTGAGCAATGGTTGGCGGAACGCGCGGCACTGCGGGCGTACGCGGTGATGAAGATCGTGTGTTTCGACTGCCGATAAGCCGCTAACCCGCGCCTTGAATCGCCGATAGTGTTCTTCGAG